ACAACTGGCGCCACGAGCGCGACCAGCAGTTGACGTGGCTCCAAGAGGACTTGATGGCCGTCAACCGGTCCACGACACCGTACGTGGAAAATATTTTCAAGGCGTTGATTGCCCGTGTGAAGAAGTAATTTTACACCAAATTCGAATGTGCAGCGTTAATATCCCTATACGTGGCAGCGCAGCATCGTCGGATTGCACTTTTGGCAGTGGACGGTACCTGTGCGCTACTACGCTATTACAAGGCACCGCTCGCAACAAATGCATTGCCGACACGTAGATTGGAGCGTGATTCTAGTAGGATATCAATCGTGCATCTAGGGTGCACAGGTTGTCTGCTGCCGTCCAAAGCATTGGCATTGCACCCGCTTTGGTGGCTTCGCCGCGTGGCGACCAGTACAAGCCACTGCTCTGTGTGAACGCGGGATCGACGACCAGGTGCGCGCAGAGCCAGTATGTGTTTCATGAGCCTTTGGCTCAAGAGCCCAACCAACTCTGCCATTGTAAGCTGCCAACAAAACAAGATACGTGTCTGTCTCCTTCTTCGAGTTAGCCCGTAACAAGCCACCACAGGGACATGACGACCCAGAGCAGAGTGTACACAAGGTAGTAGAAGCGGTAGCTTGGTGCGTTGGGCTCCCAGTACGCGCAGAGCGACACGAGGAGATACAAGGTCGGCGTCAAAAGCAGCGGCAACACCCCAAGCACCAGCGCATCGTTGGCGCCCACCGACGCAGCTGCCAGCGCGATGTCGACCGAGAGCTCAAACGCCAAAAGCATGTAGATGGCGAGGGCGGCCCCAAGACCAAGGTAGACGCGCAGCTGCGGCGCACGCGGCGAGAGCACGTTCTCAAACCGAATCGACGAGTAGTACATCATGGCCGTGCGCGTCGGGATGTACGTTGACTCGTCGTCCGGGCCGTACGTCTCGTGGTGGTAGCGCAAGTACATGATCGCGCCCATAAAGACGAGCAAGACACTCGAGTAGACACTCGACGCGATCGCGAACAAGACCAACACCGGACCCGGCACGAGCGCCAGCAGCGCAAACACCGCGCTGCACGACGAGACGGACGCCGCGAAATGAATGTACGCGTTGACGTTCGGGTGAGGCTGGCCGTGGCGCCACTTGTGTGCGGCGGCGGTGGCGCCGAGGACGTTCCCAAGGAACCCGCACGGCAGCGCAAGCGACGCAAAGAGCGAGTGGCGCGTCCCATGCACGAGCAGCGCGACGGGTGCATTCAGCACAAGGCCGCCGACGAGCGCTTGGCCAAACGACCGCACAATGTACGTCCACTCGCCGAGCACCGAGAGGGCAAATGCCTTGGGGGTTACGACGATCATTGTGTCGTAGAGCGGGAAGAAGTGGTAGCTCACACTCAGGACGAGCGCCGCGAGACCGACCGCAAGCAGCGTAAAGAGAGCGCGGACATACGGCGTGAGCGCAACGCCAAACGAGCCAAGGATGTCAAAGTACAAGGCCGACCCGGCGGCGTCAAACTGCAAGGTGGGCAGCGACAGCAGCGCACTTGTGATGGCGAGGACGTTGTCGCCGCAATATTGGACATCGGCCGGCGAAATATGAGCGAGAGAGTCGTCCCGTGTGTGGTAGTACTCGCGGTGCTCGTAGAACGCGACGTCGAGGCCCGGAATGCCCGCGGGCTGGTAGATCTCGTAGTCGGTCGCGCTGCCGAGGACCTTGATGAGGAAGCCGCCGAGGCTGTTCATGTGCGGGTGCGGTGCGACCGACGCGTACAAGGACGCGAGTGCATCGTCTGTCGTTCGAAAGAGGATTGCGCGGCCGCCTGCCCCGCCGCCTTCGATGTTGAGAAAAGCCTTGACGTTGTACTTGGCGACCAACTGTTGCCGGACAAACCATTTCGAGCCGCAGAGCCCGGTCTCTTCGCCGTTGTTGAGAAAGAGAACGAGGCTGTGTCTACTGGTTGCATTGCGCGCGAGCAACGTCGAGAGCACGTGGAGCAGCACGGCGACGCCGGCGCCGTCGTCGGACGCGCCAAACGACGACGAGACCGAGTCAAAGTGGGCCGTGAGGAGGATGCTATCGTTGGAAGAGCCCGGCACGCGCGCAATGATCTGCGTCTCGTTGAGGTACCACGATGCGTTGGCACACTCGGCGTCGCGGGGCACAGCCGGGGCGTACGTCGATGGCAGGTCGTCCGCGACGAGCGTGGCCCGGGGCGTGTCGAGGACGAGGCGCGGGTGCGTCGTGCGAAGGACTTCGAGCGCGTCGTAGAGGTAGTTGTACACATTGTAGTTGGCGTCGGTCGTGATCGGGTGCGAAGCGCGGGCGATTGTCTCGAGCGACTTGTAGGCGGTGGCGCCGGCGAAGCGCCCATCCGTGGGTGGCACGTCCAGAGGCGCTGGCAGCTGCGCGCGCCAGACCACGTTGAAGAGAAGCGACAGCGCCGCGCTGAGCAAGATGGCTGTGCACGGGACGAAGCGGCTCATGGCTGACGTCACACGAGGGTTGCTCTTTGAATGGTACACTTCCTCTCGCCACCTGGGTTTAAACACCCGGATGGGTAGTAAAACGCACGCAAGGTGCCGGTTTTATACCCCAACTGTCCGGATACTAGATAAAACTCAGGTTTTATCAAGTTGCGTCGAGTTGAAGCTGCGCACGCCTATCACTTGGCATACCATCGACATTGGCCCACAGCGAACATACCGACTCGTCGCGTCCGAGATGCTGTCATCCTTGTACGTACTTGGTGCACGAGTCAGCGACCAGAGGCTAGCAGCGCCCATGTTATGTGGGGGTTCCTTCAGGGTCAACAGCCCAGCGACCAAAATGTGATGGACGTGGCGTTATCATTTCGTTGGGTCGTTGTCATGTGACCTGACCATCCATTTGACTCGCATTTATCACATTGAGCTAAATGATCAACTGACATACAATCAACAGAGCACTTGACAGAGTGACCTTATCGCCGAGATGAGGCGACGTTGTTTCATAGCCAATCTGTTTGAATCGTCCTGGCGCCTATCTGAGACGACGCCGTGTTCCAGCAGTTCCAGCCAGAAGCACGTGTGTGCCGCTGCAGCCACAGCCCATCGACCCTCCTGTCTACGGGTGCTACTGCACTTGCGCGCACGAGGAGGCTGACGGTAGCCATCTTTTGCCTCGTAGATTCAACCTCGTCTGGAGTGCAGCATTACGGAAGGTCATTCGAGTTGGCCAAGCGACCAATCGTCTGTCGAATCGCCAAGGACACGCCCCGTTTCTAAGCTACTGGAACACGATCCTTTCGATTTCTTCGCCATGACGCGTCGGCAACGTCTTGGCGCGGTCCTCGTTGCTCTCGCTGTCATGGGCGACGCACATCAGTCACGTGCACTTGGGCTTTTCAAGCGCATGCCAAAGCAACGTCTTCTTCCGCAAACAACCATCGACACGTACGGCGGCGACAAGTTCAAGTCGCCGGATCTGCACTCGGTGAGTCTCTGCGACTTGCCGAGCGGCGCCACGGTCGAGTACTGCGTCGGGTCATTTGCGTCGACGTTTCTTGTGCCGCCATCGCCGGGCGACGACGCGACACCGACAGTCCTTGGCCTCGTCGGTGACGTTGGCGACACGGCACAAGACGATCTCAACGCTCTTGACAAGTACCAAGCCTTGCGCCCACACGCTATCCTTGTCGCCGGCGACTGGCCGTACGCCGACGGGAAACGCGCCAAGTGGGGCAAGTGGTTTGAGCTCCAAGAAGCCACGTTCGCGACTATTTCCGTCACCGGCATTGACGGCAACCACAAGGTGCTCACGGCCGACGAAAACTACAAGGCGTATTTGCGGCGTGTGCCCGGCCCCCTCTCGGACGCCAGCAAGAAGGCCCTTCGACCGTACTACTCGCTCGCGATTGGGCTCGTGCACGCAGTGTTCCTTGACGACTACATCGGTGCAACCGCCAAGTTTGGCGGCAACAACTGGCGCCACGAGCGCGACCGGCAGCTGACGTGGCTCCAAGAGGACTTGATGGCCGTCAACCGGTCCACGACACCGTACGTGCTGGTTATCAAGTACAACCCGTTCTACAACTCGTTCCGCGGGCACCAGTGCGTGTGCGGGGCGACGCCATTAGAGATCGACAACGTCGCGTCGTGCTGGGTCAGCGACTACAACACATACCAAGAAGGAGCCTTACTGCGGTCTCCAAGCCAAGCTCGAAGATCGATGCAGTGCCATCGTGGTCCCTCACCTGATGTGTCGCCTTTTCACCACGCGAGAAAACTCCAAGTGCTGTGGTTCAACAACCACGACCTCCAGACACCCCGCGATTCGTACGTGCTTTTGGCCGCGGACGTCCTAGCTACGCTGATATTGCCAAATTGGACAACACGAAGAGAACTTCCGATCTATCTATCTATAAATCGATCGATCTCTTTCTTGCTAGCTAGATAACTAGCTACCTGGGTAGAGGACTCGTATTCGGTGGCGATATCGAGTTAGCCCGTAACAAGCCACCACAGGGACATGACGACCCAGAGCAGAGTATACACAAGGTAGTAGAAGCGGTAGCTCGGTGCGTTGCAAAAAGCCAATGGCCGAAAATATTTTCAAGGCGTTGATTGCCCGTGTAAAAACGTATTTTCATACGAGAAGAGATTTGCTGATGTTAATATCCCCTGACGTGGCAGCGCAGCATCGTCGGATTGCACTTTTGGCAGTGGACGGTACCTGTGCGCTAC